ATAATAATAAAAATTAATAAAAATAAGTTCTTTCACGTTTTCTGTTGGAGTGATAAAGTTGTGGCGGCGCATTATGTAAGAGCATTTCCCCTTTCCATTGGTTTTGTGTATGTGTAAGGTATGAATCTGATTTCTTTCCTGTAGATGAATAATTGACCTAGTGCCATTTTTGAGAAGTTCTTTTCAACTTGTCTGTAGCACCACATCTATTACATAGCAAGTACCCATCTGTGTGCAGCTGTTTTGTGCGCCAGCCTGGGAGATGGGGTGGGGCTGGCAGGCGGGTATGTATGTGTATAAAGTGGCAGCGGGCTGGTACTGGGAAAGGTGTGGCAGGGCGAGAGGCAGAGGTCCAGGGACCCCTTCCCCAGTGTCTGAGGCATGGCTAGAGAAAGGAGAGCCTCTGACAGAGAATGACAGTAGCACTTGAGAGGTAAGAAGATGGCTTGGGTACTGCCATAGGCACTGTCATCCTTGAGATGCTGCACCCTGAGCTGAGGAGAGCTGCCCACACGCAGGTGGCCAGAAGCAGGAGGAACCTTCCAGGCCGCTACTGTGATCACCACCTCTGCCCAGGACCACCTGCAGCAGTGTGGCCCTGGGATTCCATCTGCTTCTCCTGCCTCGGAACATGAGTGTCTGGGGGGCAGTATCGGTAGCAGCCCTCCCACAGAAGAGGCAAGAAAGGCCTCTGTGTATTGGGGCTCTCTAGTAAGTGCATCTGGACCAGAGTAAGCAAAATGTGGAAACTTGCTTGTTGGGTAAGGCAGTGGGTAGGGCAGGGAGCACTCGCTGCCAGGCCTTGGGGAGTTGCAGCGGGGCCCCGGAGGGCGGAATGATGCTGAGTCTCCGTTCCCTGGGGTTGTGCGCCTCCAGCTGCTACTCCTTCTCGCCCTGCCCTGGCGCATGAGCTATCACTTACAAGTCCAGGCACACAACAGAGGTGCTCTTTCTGAGTGGGAAATGGCGCACCTGTCACCTCAGCACTAGGAGGCAGAGGCAGGAGCAGTGTGAGTTCGCGGTGGCGCACCTGTCACCTCAGCACTAGGAGGCAGAGGCAGGAGCAGTGTGAGTTCGCGGTGGCCACAGTGAGCTTGAGGCTCCCCAGACTACAGGGAGAGATCTTGTCTTGCAAATGCCCTTTCCTACTCAGGCTTCTCTTCAGATTGTGCACATCTTTCGCCTTTACTAAAAATGGCCTTTCTCACTTCAGGTTACTGTTAGAAAAAGAAAGGAATCTGATTGGCTCAGCCCTGCCCTCAGGCTGAAGGGTTAAGAGCGCATGGCCCCTGGCCGCCACCAGGCCTTTATGGGGAGGGTTCCCAGGGGCTGCAGATGGCTGGCACTGAGAAGAGGATGCACCAAGAGGAAAGGAAGGGGAGGGCGCCCAGAGTGGGACAGAGCGCTTAGCATTGCTGGACTCCGCCACGAGGACAAGCAGGACCAATGGTGAGACTCCCCAGGAGACTTTAAAAACGAAATTAAAAGGCTGTTAATATTTTTATATTTTCTTATAACCCAGAAATACTTGGGTCTGTGTTATATATGAAGTTTATTCATTTGTTTGAGAGGCTGGCTTTGAAATTGTTATCCTCCTGTCTCCTAATTTATAGGTACCTGCCACCACAACTGGCGTGTGTGTGTGTGTGTGTGTGTGTGTGT